GATATCGATTATGCGATTGTGTTTAAAGAGTAAATAAATATGGACCGTTCATCGCGATTTGATCTGAACTGTATAATCGCACATGAGGAGGGAACGAATTCAGATCGTCCACACGCGTGGGAATAAATCCAGACTGTCTGATTGCGGGCACGCGGATTGCTAGTTTGACCTCTCGAATGGCACTGAGTCAGCGTACTTTGCCACGTGACGCGCTCCGATTTGTCGGGGCTGCTGACCTGGCGGTCTTACGTGGTACATTTTTCTTAAATTACGTTTTGACCATCAGTTTCTGATTTTTCTTTCAAAAATACTCTTCGAACCCAAATTTTCACTCGTTTTTTCTCAAAATTATTTTCAATTTCATTATTCATTTTTTTTTTCTAATTTTGCATTAAATAAAAATTTACTATTTTAAAATTTATATTTTTATATATTAATTTAATTTTTTTAAAAATTAATCATGGGTTAAATTTTCGGACCCGGATATTACAGTAACTACCTTATCGATGAAGACAGTTGAAGAAATTATATGCTTTTTATGGAGACTCTGGATCGAGCAGAATGAAACTTTGTTGGTAAGGAGAGTTTATGTAGAACAAATTATAGTGTTTTTAGCATAGAGATATCTGATCGAATGGAGGCTTGCACAGGATATTATATGAGGCTCTCATACATTATTGCAAAATTGTGCTTACCCCTAGTGTTAATGGGAGCCACCACCTCTTAGAATTTAGAAATGTAATGTAGACAACAACTGAAGCCAATATTCAGAGGAGGCGGGGTTTAGAGCAATCATTCGGGACTTATAAAGGAGATTAATATAAATTGTCTTGAACAGAACTAAACGTTGTCGGTCAACTTTCATGGCGGAGCTAATTGACTTTCATTTGACTCTACAATACATCTCTACCCATATTCCATGACTAGGAATTATTGGGGTGGACATTTAGAGGGTTAGCAAAGTTCTAATAAGAGGGAGGATTGTTCCAAATTTAGCTTTATTATTGATTATTGTAAGTTGTTCTTATCACTTAGGTTTGAGATAGTTATTAATTGGGCTAGTAGGAAAGCAAACAAGCTTGCTCACAGGATACCACGGGAGGCCGGCTTTAATTTATGTTTCTATGTATGGGGAGGGCTGCCTTCGGATTTGACTATATTGCTTCAGTTGATTGAATCCTTGAATTGGTCATTTAAAAAAAAAAACAATTTGTTTCAGTTTATTTATTTGATAAAAATATTTAAGAATTTTTGTTGGTTTAACGCATATTTATAATTTGTTATTAAATATATTTTTTATTTAATTAATTTAATATTATTCTCTTAGATATAATTATTTTTGAAGGAAACATTTAACTATTTATTTTTTTAATGATTAGTACCAGTGATTGATTTTTGGCTGATGAAACTAATGAATAGTACCAGCTGCACGCCACGTGGTTGAATCAGCGGCGTTACGCGGATGCATTTAGTGTTGGCCACCACAGGCTATCGAAACCCCGTTATAAAAATCCCTTAAGACGAACCGTCCTCTTGCCTGTAAAGAACGCGAATCTCTCTCTCTTTCTCTCTCTGCCATCCGAAAGCGAAATCGAATTACGGAAAAAAAAAAAACAATCCCTCTAGAAAACGGATCCAAAATAATACGCGAACCAGAATAACTGAAAACCCTAACCCTAGCCGCGGCCAACTTATCCTTTTGTATTTCATGTCGCTGCACGTCAGACTGATAGGGGGCCAAGATTAGGGTTTGGTTTATGGTCAGAATTAGGTAGTGTTAGGGTTTTGATTTTTCGCTCTTATGTCTATACGAACGGAGATAGATCAGTACTAGGGTTTCGGTAATGAAATACGTAG